GGCATGCAGCATAGAGGTGGGCTGCTCGGATGTAAGCGATGCATGCCTCATAGAAGGGGGCTGCTTGGATGTAAGCGATGCATGCCTCATAGAGGGGGGGGCGCTCGGATGTAAGCGATGCATGCCTCCATAGAGAGGGGCCGCTCGGATGTAAACGATGCATGCCTCAGAGGGGGGGCCGCTCGGATCTAAGCGATGCATGCCTCCATAGAGAGGGGCCGCTCGGATGTAAACGATGCATGCCTCAGAGGGGGGGCCGCTCGGATCTAAGCGATGCATGCCTCCATAGAGAGGGGCCGCTCGGATGTAAACGATGCATGCCTCAGAGGGGGGGCCGCTCGGATCTAAGCGATGCATGCCTCCATAGAGAGGGGCCGCTCGGATGTAAACGATGCATGCCTCAGAGGGGGGGCCGCTCGGATCTAAGCGATGCATGCCTCCATAGAGAGGGGCCGCTCGGATGTAAACGATGCATGCCTCAGAGGGGGGGCCGCTCGGATCTAAGCGATGCATGCCTCCATAGAGAGGGGCCGCTCGGATGTAAACGATGCATGCCTCAGAGGGGGGGCCGCTCGGATCTAAGCGATGCATGCCTCCATAGAGAGGGGCCGCTCGGATGTAAACGATGCATGCCTCAGAGGGGGGGCCGCTCGGATCTAAGCGATGCATGCCTCCATAGAGAGGGGCCGCTCGGATGTAAACGATGCATGCCTCAGAGGGGGGGCCGCTCGGATCTAAGCGATGCATGCCTCCATAGAGAGGGGCCGCTCGGATGTAAACGATGCATGCCTCAGAGGGGGGGCCGCTCGGATCTAAGCGATGCATGCCTCCATAGAGAGGGGCCGCTCGGATGTAAACGATGCATGCCTCAGAGGGGGGGCCGCTCGGATCTAAGCGATGCATGCCTCCATAGAGAGGGGCCGCTCGGATGTAAACGATGCATGCCTCAGAGGGGGGGCCGCTCGGATCTAAGCGATGCATGCCTCCATAGAGAGGGGCCGCTCGGATGTAAACGATGCATGCCTCAGAGGGGGGGCCGCTCGGATCTAAGCGATGCATGCCTCCATAGAGAGGGGCCGCTCGGATGTAAACGATGCATGCCTCATAGAGGGGGGCCGCTCGGATGTAAGCGATGCATGCCTCCTAGACACCAGCGCTGTGGTCATGTCATGGCCACCTCCTCCTCCTAGGCATTCATAAAATACACAGCCCCTGGCTTTTTCTGTGAACGGCCATGAGAGAGAGTCGGAGACACCAGTTGAATCTATATCAATTCTACCATGTAAACAAGCAGATTTGCCTATGTAGAAGAAAACCTGCATGATAGGAATGGGGGGAGTTGTTATTTTTGAGGCAAAGGAATGTATAACGGCTTTAACCCTGGCAAGTTTTTTGTGTGCCTGGAGTTGGGCTTTAAGCTTGACTTGGTGATACCAGCAGTTAGAATGACTTGCTTTTCATGGTTGTAGGAAACGGAAGAGGTGCCAGAGGTTCAAGAAAAAGAGGAGAAAAAGAAGAAAAAGTCCAAACCATTGGAAAGGCGGTCAACAAGGACCAGGAAATTCATCAGTTACAGGTACACAGAGGAACATTTTATGAAGGTATAAGCAGACTCAGCATGCTGATAGAAATGAAAGCCCAATGAAGCCCTCAGTATAAATCAGTGAAATACATTACAGGTGAGTCCAAAACAAAAGGTGTGCAATGTCTTAAGGTGCCCATACACTGCACGATTATCGTACGAGAATCGCGGGAAATCCCGCGATCGTACGAGAATCGCAAAGTGTATGGAAGGCGTGCGACCGTTTCTACTGTACAGTCGCACGTCTTCCGTCGAACCAGCAGGCTGGAAAACCCGCCAGGAATTGTACGATTCTCGGCGGGTTAGTGGCCTGCTTGTTCGACAACTGCCGAACGGTCAGTCTTAAGTAGAGAAGCCTATCCCCTGCCAGCATGCTGCAGAGAAGGACTTCTTCTCTCATGTGGAAGCAGTGATACTACTGCAGAGGTCCAACGCCCTCTGATGACACAGACCTATAGCTCTGCAATCAGAAAAGCTCATGCTTCCTGCTGATTGGCGAGCTCTGACTCAGCAGAGGGGCGTGTCAGACCTCTACAGAGAGGCCACTGCTTCCAGACAGAGCAAGAGTCCTCTGCAGCATGCTGGCAGGGGGCAGACTTTTCTATCTAGGCTGTGGCTGCTTGGAAAACATGTAAGCCTCTACACACCTTTAATTTGTAACACAACTGCAATGTATTTAGTGGGTGTAAACTGAAATTTAAATTGGGCGTTAACATACCAGAGGTGCTGCCGCCAATGCCTAGTCCACACTTGGTCTGCTTTCTCCATGGAAGGAAGTTGCTGGATTCAAACAGCGTCATATCCCAAAAGCAGATCATTCCTTAGCTGTGTCTTCTCACCGAGACTTCAGGTGAACCCACAGGACTTTGCAGGCAGTGTTTAAAGGAGGGATATTGCTGATGTCACATGACCAGAAAGGTACTGAACTCTACAGAGCTGAGTGGGCAGTTAGAAATGGCAGCCCATGTATGAAGGTTATAACAGATTTCCTTTTATAGGAACAGCATGGATCTATGCCAAGAACGATGTTCGTGCAAAGCAATAAAGCATTAACTTTTTAAATATAATAAGCAAAGGTGTTTGCATGCAGCCAGAATTTAAAGCTGAACTCCATGCACAAAAAAAAAAAATCTGATTATACTCCTTAGTATGGACAAAGGCTTTAAGTCCACTTCGCGTGTGCTAAATGCCTTCGCGAACCGTTATTGCCTTGCGAAAGTAGCAGTGACATCATCACTGTGCTGTACATAGCCTGTGCAGGGAGCAGAACTGTGGGAGGGGCTCAGCAGGCCCCACGCACTACAGACAAGTACAGGCAGGGCAGAGACGAGATCACTCATGCTACACAAGGAGAAAGAGCAGCAGTGACTGGTCTTGATTACAGGAAGCTCCTGCACAGAGGAAAGTTTCACACTGGAAACACGGAGCACACCAAGATACATGCACGTGACTCACCTGATACTCGGAGCCGGCTTGCTCTTAGACCGGTCCCTGGAGCTTCTCCTCCGCTGCAGCAACCTAAGGTCCCTGAGTACTCGCATTCTATACCAGGGATGGCCAAGCTGTGGTGGAACTACGAATCCCATGAGGCTTTGCAAGATTCTCACAGACATGACTCCCGGGATTGCTTCATGGGATTTGTAGTTTCACCACAGCTGGAGGGCCGGAGTTTGGCCATCCCTGTTCTATACACAGTGTCTAGGACGTGAGGACGCCAAGTGACATACCATAACTGGAGGGAGATAGGGTGAGTATACCCAAAATGATCTGTTAACCCTTGCAGTGCAGGGGTAACCCTACTGCAAGGGTTAATAAAATAAAAAAAGTTGCACGGAGTTCTGCTTTCACTATGCTGTAAATAAAGCCAACTTCTGTGTTTTGCAGGTTTGATGAATTTGATGAGGCGATCGATGAAGCAATAGAGGATGATGTCAGGGATGCTGATGGAGGAGGTAGTGAAGGAACGTCCACTGTTCATTAAGTGCTGTTTCATCAATTTTCTTTTTTAAAAATTGTAATAAACCCCATGAAACCATCATTGGCCGTCATGGTAATCACATGTTTTGGGAACCGCGCTGATCGGCTGATGATTCTGAATATTTACTATTATTGCGTTTTAAAGGTGTGGGCCGAGGAAAGGATATGTCCAATATCACCGGTCATCATGGCAAAGACATAGCCACCATTTTGGAAAGCGAAAGGACAGAAGTAAAACGGCCGCCAAGAGTTGCCGCGCGTCGCAAGAAGCGCCGGCGACTGAACGACCTGGACAGCGACAGCAACCTAGATGAAGATGAGAGCGAGGACGAGTTCCGGATCAGTGAAGGGTCAGTGAATGAATGTTACATGCCCCTTGCCCTTCATATATACCGTATTTGTCGGTCTGTAAGACGAGTTTTTAGGCTTCTGTCGTCTTATACGCCGGGTAGGGATCCGAAATCTCCAGAAAAATCGGCACTGAATTTGACTTGCTTGGAGTATATGGGCCTAATCTTCGGATGGGGTCCTGTCAGCCCGCTGGATGTGCGGTCATACTGTATGTACGGCAGCTTCGGCTACATACAGTATACCGCGCTGAGCCAATCATGGCGAGCGATGTATTCTATTAATGAATACAAAGCTTGCTGGGATTGGCAGAGGTTGTTTACATCGCTCGTCGTGATTGGCTCAGCGCGGTATACTGTATGTAGCCGAAGCTACCGTACATACAGTATTACCGCACATCCAGCGGGCTGACAGATTAGCCTCCCTGGCGGTCTGATTTTATTTTATTTTTTCCTTTTTCATTCTATTTTTTGTTTTTGTTTTAACTTTTAAAATTCCCGCCAGTTCCACCTCCCTGAGACGCGGGCGCTCGCAAGGGACGGAGGACACAGCGGGGATCGTGGACAAGGTAAGAGGCTGTAATCCCGAGTGTGGCTCGGGGGTACGGCTTCTGGGATTTAAAATTAACCCCGGCGC